GTCGTGCCGTCACGGCACGGAGTGTTACCTCCGATCAACACTTAAACGCATGACCGCGATGATGCAATCAGGGATAGACCAGATTAAACCAACATGCTTCCAATGAAGTCGGTAGCTCCGGTGTCGGTTAGCCGGCTAGCGGGTTAGTAGGGTATACGATAATGGAGTTCCAGTACCAAAACTAAGCGTCCTCAAACTTTTATAGTATTAGCAGGTAATATTAGTGGCAAGGCTAAGGAGGTCGACCAAAGCCTTGACTGGCTGAAATAAAGGCTTTGCAGAAACTTTGTTGGAACTGGTCCAGAGCCCCATTGTATGTGCTACTTACATCAGCGACATCATTTATTTCCTTTAGAACACGATTTTGTCTATGAATCCCTGGCCCGAAACTCAAAATAGGTTTTTACCTTCCATTCATAAAATTATAATATAAGTAAATGTGGTCTCCAGTTACAGTTCGCTGGAGGCAGGGCACTTCCGCAATAGGGGTTTTATTCACCCCAGATCGGCACAAAGTTTTCACCCGGAAAGATTTCACAGTGAAGACCAGATTAGCGCTAGCTTATCATCTTGACAGGAGGGCGCATATGCTGGGCTGGAGTATATACAGAACTAGAAGTAAAGTTATGCCAGAAGTCATGCGTTAGAGATCGTCAATACCTTCTCATATGGTAAGTCTTAGGTCAGCCTTCAATGGCAAAAAAGAAACTGTGGCATCATGAAGACTTTCTTTTGTATCCTCTCAACAGGAACCAATTACTTCATTTACTACGCATTTGTATGAACTCACAAAGCATAATTTGCACGTATCCTACCAAATCAGATTTGTTTGATACAGCCATGAACGTCAATATAAACAGTTTTCAAAGGTATTGATAAAATATTGTACTTTAGGATGATACGGCCGTATACACGAGCCTTCGAGTACGAACTAGAAAGCACCTATTGAATCATGTCGCGGTTTGTCAAATTATCCCAACTTTCCTGTATATTATTCAGCAATACAAAATGTCTTACTTTCATAATACATGGGACTGTCAACCTACATGTAAGAGTGATTCGACCTTAGTGTAGCTTGGCCAAGATCACATTTTATTTACACCAATTACCTACAGACATATTAAAAATGTAATCTATTTTAAATTTCTTTTTTCTGTTTATATGAACAATATTTGCGGCGTTAAACAAATTAAAAAAACAAAACAAAAAGACAGAGCATGAACACTAAGTGTGTCAACTGAAAAAGAAACTAAATGCTGATTTGCAAACTAGGTGCCTTTGCTGGCTCATGCGAGGTTTTCTGAACCTACTATGTCACTCATATATTCATTCAATATTTACCATTGTTTGCCTGTGTGACAATATTGAATCAATTACTTCGAAATGTGTTTCAGGATCTATAAAACTCTCTATGTGGTAACAGTCATTATCAGCCTCTTATATCCTAAAGGAACTCTGCTGCAACTATGGATGGGACCCGCGACAAATCAACAGAAGCAATTATAAGAATTAAACTGTCTAGTGCATACTTGCTTGCTAATACTCTTAGTTCACCAAACACCTGCAAAAGACACAAATGCACATCAATTTACACAGTGTACCTCTTAATCATTGTTTTTCCGTTATACTTCATTTTGATAATGTATCAGCCAATTCATTACATGTATTTGAATACTCATGAATCCACACAATACATTTTGAGCAACTATGTAAGTGGATCCTAACCTTGAAGGTGAAATCAACACCGGCTGTTTCTTGCAAGATGCTGTTAACAGTGGCCATGGTGGTCTTCCACATCAGCGACTCCTGTTGGTTTCAGCGATGTCGACAAGGAAACGAGAGTAGTCTTTGCATCTTGCAAGGCCCAACACAAGCATAACTGCTTCAAAATGGTCAGCGTAGGAAGTTCCATCGCTGTACGTTAATAATGGAGCCAACGCCTTACTCATTCATCACAGTTGAACTTCCCATATATAGAGGTATAGCAATAGGAGGTCCATTTACGAAGGGGTGTTAAGTTGCGTATTGCACGAACACAAATCCTATATCTATTGAATCACATGATCAGACGCCCATGAAACTAGGAAATACGATATTTATTATTTGGAAATAGTTGGGTAATATGACAAGCGTGGTATGTATCCACTGCTCTATGTGATGCTTGATAACGGTGTCAATTATCTCGACAAAACGTTAACAGTAACGATTTGCGCTACACATTTGTCCCAGCTCAGTCTATGCCTGATCACAATTTAGTATCCAGGAACATGGAGGTGTTACATCACAGACTTCACAGCCAGACGACGACTTCAACTGTGTGTCCGACCATCTGCCGCTCTCTGTGTTTCTGAATCTTCGTCATGGTTCAACTGACATCACACCCATAACACCTCTAGTTTCTTGGAAAAACTGTGACGATAATATCTTCCAGGCATGAAACCACTGCCTCTAGAAACTCAACCATGACTGACTGACTCAGTTTAGTTTTACGCCACTTTTAGCAATACTCCAGCAATATCACGGTGGGGACACCAGAAATGGGCTTAACACATTGTGCCCATGTGGGGAATCGAACCCAGGTCTTCGGCGTGACGAGCCAACGCTTTAACCACTAGGCTAACCCACCGCCCCTCTCAACCTTGGAAGTAACCACCAGTACAGACAGCCCTTCTCATGTTAATGCGAAATATCATATCGTTGAGAGTATCAGCAATGCAAGTGATGCTAACCTTCCAGCCTCAATCCCACACTAAACCATATTGGTCAAAGAGTGAGTGAGTTTAGTTTTACGCCGCACTCAGCAATATTCCAGTTATATGGTGGCAGTCTGTACATAATCGAGTTTGGACCAGACTGGTCAAAAGAACTTAAACATATGCATGCTCTTCAAAAACATGCACGATAGTTGTGGATCAGTGAAGGGAGTTCACGAGGCATTCAACGTGCAACATGACAGCTTCTGTGCCTACAAACGTCTCAAAATGATTCACAAATACATGGAAAACAAGCTCAACTATTGTGCTCACCTTAACGTGAGGCAACTAACGAGATCAGGATGCTCGGGATGCTATTCTCACTGACTTGGTTGACACATATCATCGTATCCCAGATCGATGCTCATGCTGTTGATCACTGGATTGTCCAGACTCGTTTATTTACAGACTGTCGCTATATAGTTGCGTAAAACTAAATTCACGCACTCACTTATACTTGTGATGGTTCAACTTCAATTAAGGTGCAGAGCGCAAATATACCCTACTTCTGGTCCAAGTCGTCCTGAAACTACATCACAACCAACCACACCATCAGTAACAGTATGTGGTCACTATTGCTTCATTTTATCGCGGGGTGCTGGTTAAAGCGTTCGCTCATCACACCAAAGACCCTGGTTCGATTCCCCATATGGGTACAATGTGTGAAGCCCATTTCTGGTGTCCCCGCCCTGATATTGCTGTAATATTGCTAAAAGCGGCGCAAACCTAAACTCGCTCACTCACGCATTCATTTTATCGATACGGTTCCCCTAAAAAACACTGTACATTTAGAAACAAACAGTTCACCTTCTACAATAGATTTGCACATACTGAGCTGTATATTAACCAACATGATTGAACTGACTGACAAAAGCGAATATAAATGTCACACTTTGTGATATACAATGTCGTACATTTTTTTTTTTTGCACCAAAAGATGTATTATTTGATATAATAAAATGATTTATGTAAACTATATCGTTGGATCGGCATTGTTGGTGAGTAAATAATGAAGCCTACGACTTTATGGGAGACAACTTCTTATTTATTGCATATACCTTAATTGCCTCATACGAACAGAGATCAAAGGAGATTACTTGCCATCAGCCGATTATTTTATTCATTTCAGCCATATCAAAATATTGCACATTTTCCACAATATTTCATGACAGTAGGGGTAGATTCTTTTTCACAATGGTAAGTTATTGTATCAGTTCTTTCGGCCATTTGCTTTTAAATATTTGGAGCCAATGAAGAGTTAATCAGGTGACGGGCCGGGGAAAGCCACATTTCAAAAATGTCTTTTTCAAATAGATTAATTAATTAATGGATTACCGTAACCGGTAAAAGAGTGTTCCCATGTATAATATTGTTTTCACAAGAAACGAATAATCTTTCTTACTCACAAGCGTGGTGTTTAGCAATACCGGTAAAAGATTGTCCCTATTTATGATTCTAAACCACATTGTATAATATTGTTTTCACAAGAAACTGGTAATCTTTCCTACTCACAAGCGCGGTGTTTAGCTTCTTCACTCAGAGTTTATTACTCAAAATGGAACCACCTCCGGTGAGTACATGAGTACATAAAATAGAATGCAGAATATACAAAGTATGCAAGAAGGTAACAGGGAATATACGCAATGATTACTGAAAACTAGAACATATACATTTGATGAATTTAGATAGGTGTTTGATTGTTGAAATTTTAGTACTTGACATCAATTTTTTTATATGTGTAGAGAGATTAGGGAAGGAACAAGAGCTATATTCATAGGTGAGTGGTTGCGTTGTTGGCTAAAATGTGAACATCTACAGATATAATGGAATTCATCCCCAGTTAACTGCGAGTAACAAGGGTTACATACTCTTCTTTTCTTGCGAGATTCGTCCATCTCCTACTTTCTATTGGCAATTTATTTTCAGATAGCAGTATTCAATTTGTCGAGTGAAGGTGAGTTTATAATTTTTTTATAATATTGTCCTTTAGATGAATTATTCATTTCACTGGTCCACGATTGTAAAACTGGTTTTTCAGGATTGATTCAGATTTTGATATGATCCAGGATTGAGTATAATGAAAGGGGTTTACAAATACATCCGGTTTGTTTTACAGATTCATATATATTATCAATATATGATATTATTATTATATGTAATATACCTATTAGTATATTATATTGTGCTAATAATAGAAACAAAACCTGTTGTGATCTAAATATAATTATGAGAAAACATGTCTTGTTTTGTTAAATACGGTAACGTGTTTGAATCACTAAGCCTGTTTGACAGCATAGCCGGGAGGCACATTTCATGTTCATGCAACCGTAACTATTGCCGGGAGATCCACATCAAGTAAGGCTATCTGTTTCGAAAATGTGGCTCTCCCGGCCTGTAACCGTTTATCAAGCTATAGATTCTGTCTGTCAGATAACTCGCTTGGTCCCATGATACATCTGTTTTGCAAACCTGTGGATGGCATAGATCCCTTCCGGAAAGTCTACACATTTCTGGATGGCAGGCGTTTTTGGCGGCGATACCTGGGCGATGGATTTCGTAGCGTTTTGTAGTTTTCTTCATATTCCGACATGTTCTCTATTTCCTCTATCTTCCTGTGCTCGTCAAGATACTCCTTTCCCATAGGAGATGCCACTACCTGTATTTTCTTCCAACGAATCTCATTGCCGGTTTTGTCGAAGAACGATCTTTCGGAGGATTCGATCTCGATTTGCAAGGTGTGTTCGTACACTTCATCTCGAGAGAAATCCTTTTCTACCAACCAATACATTTGTCCTCAGAAACAGTCTGTCTTCGTTCTCTCGAAGTAGGAGTCGTGTTGTTGTAGTACTCTTTCTAGCCCCGCCATAGTTCAAACAGTGCTCATTTCGCCTGTTGGCGATTGGAGGACGATGCGTGTGGAATGGTTGGCGGTTCAGAAGCCGAGAATGCCGTATCGGCTGGCTATTGACCCTACTTTGTTTGTATCCATATTGCGGAGAGCATTTTCCACAAGCAGTTGGGATTGTCTTCGTTTTTGGATGTATGCTGTGACTTCTGCGAAACTGCCTTGCAGAGCTTCGATCTCCTTTTTGCGTAGTTCTGCTCGTTCTTCCCGGATTTGTATTTCCTTTTGTAGTGACTTTTCGGCTCTTCTTTGCCAATTTTCTGCCTTCTCGGACTCCAGTATCTCCAGCTATTTCCTTCCTCGTGTTTGTGTAGACAGAGTAGAAATTTTGCGATAGGCATCTATGTTCGGCATTTCTTGAAAAGGTTGGTCGGATCTTTCTCTGCCCAGCTTTTGTCATTTTTTCTGTCTCCATTGCCATTCGATGTGTGGAGTTGTCAGGAGAAATATGTCTGGATCCATGCCGGATTGATGTAGAGCTGTTGGCTTCTTGCTGGCAGCTAGCACCGTCTTGGTGTCTTCGCCTTTGGCATAGCATCAGAAGTGGGCCTGTTCCACCGTATCTCCTTCTACCGATAGGATGTCCACGTGGAATATTGGAACCCTTCAAAGCCAGAAGTCTCCTATGGCCCAGTCGATGTTTTTCCCAGGAATCTGTGTTGGTTGGACGAATGTGTACTCCGGACGTGACCCATTTTCGAATGTGCATACCACGCGATGAAGATCGTATGCTGTGGACAGTCGGCTAGGACCAAACAGCGGTCTATCTTTTCTGCGAGGCAGAAACCACTGCGCTACTGCTGGTTGTACTACGAATAGACCGTCACCTGCTGGCAAAACCCGCTCCAACACATCTTGCAAAACGTTTTCTGCTCTGTTGGTGGACATGTCGGTGTCTTGGCAGGAGTACAGGGACACTTCTATGTGAGTGCAACCTCGTTGTTTGTACGTCTGGGTGGAGAAAGGTTTTGCGGAAATGCTCGTTTGGACAATCCACGTAGTCAGCAAGATGGCCGCCAATCGGTTCTCGGATTTCTCCAGCTTCGAAGTTGCAAACGACTTGTTGTACAGCTTGGTGTGCATCGTTTTGCTGGACTTTGTTGTCTCTACCCACGTTCTAACATGGTTGCCGACCGAGTGGGTGTTGTCCAGGATGGTGTGCTTTCGATCTTTTGGATCGTGCTGGCAATAGCTCCTGCACTCGTCTTTTGCACCGTGTGGAGAAGTGTCGCATACATTTTGGTTGCTTCGGTTCGCTCTTTGTAGGTGGTGCATAGTATCAAGTGGAGTAGTCCGACGATTTTTTTCGCGTGGCCGTGTTCTCCCGTACACTGGACGCTTTCCTTGTGCTGCATGATGTATTTGCGAGATAGATAGACAAACACGAAGAGGTCGTTGACAAAGGCTGGAAGACCAGAGAGTGGTTGGAGATGGGTTTCCCATAGATTTCGTCGAGATATAGGACACGAGGTTGTTGTCGTGTGTGTTTTCCAGTAGGAGGTGGTGTGTGATCGATTTGCTGCACCGAATACCCATTTTTTGTTAAGTTGCTGAGATTTGTTTTCCCAAAGTTGTTGTTGTCGGAGTGTATCCTGTATGCTGTAGCAACTCCATATGTCTAATTGGAAGTTCGAGCAACCTTGGTGGCGTCGAAAAATG